ATCCCGTTGCTGGTCCCGGTCCAGTACGGGCGCAACACTGAGGGTTGCGATCCGTTGCCAGTCAGAAAAAAAGACAAAAAGGAAAAAAAAAAATAAATAAAGATACTTCTTTCTCATATTGTTCTCAGCAGGAGGATTATTTGTAATTACCTGTTTCACTGTTACTAGAAATGGAGAAACAATACATTTTTTATTTTTTCTACAGCATTTAAGATTTTTTTTTAGTTCTTTTATCTGAAAATTTTTTTCTGCTGTCAATGTGATCTTGCTTAGTATATACCTGCAGAGCAGGCTGGTTAGTTCAGTTGGTTAGAACATGGTGTTACAAGAACGAGGTCAAGGGTTCAGATCCATACACCGTCCAGCTGCCACCCCACCTCCTGAATATATGTATATACCTGCAAAATAAGTATTATCAAAAAATTTTTTGTGAGGTAATGATCATATGGTCTGATTCTGTAGAACAGTTCCATTCTTTTAAGTCTCTTGCTTTTTCTAGTTAGAAAGAATTTTTACCCAGAATCTGAGACAGTTTCAGTTGGATATTGTTTGGGTCTCTGTTTAGCTATTTCCAGAACCAGCTTTAAACTATTCTTGCCAAAAATTAAGAACCCAAATCTAATCCAGTCTTTAAATCTAATTTCCAGTTTATAGGAAAAATAGGTGAGAGCAGAAAAAGTTAAATGGACAACATGGGAAAGAAGTATCTTTAAAAAGACAGTTTAGGGCCGGCCCGGTGGCGCACTGCTACAGTGCGCCGCTTGGGAAGTGTGGCAGGCGCTCCCGCCGAGGGTTCGGATCCCACATACAGATCGGTTCCCGCTCACTGGCTGAGCGAGGCGTGGGAGCAACACCGAGGGTTGCGATCCCGTTGCCGGTCCCGGTCTGGTACGGGCGCGACACTGAGGGTTGCAATCCGTTGCTGGACACGAAAAAAGACAAAAAAAAAAAAAAGACAGTTTAAAAATATCTTTCAGAAGGCATCAGAAAGTCAACAAGGAGATGGAGAAATAGTAGGTCAAAATGGAACTCCAGTGAAATGAGCCAGAAAGTCATCAGACAAATCCAGTACGTGGGAATACTACATGACAACTGATACAGTTTCTTTAGCAGGTCATGGGCATGAACAGAAGGTGGAAAGGAGGTCGATTCTACATTACAAGAGCCTCATGAGACTCAACAATCATATGGCAATGAATGAACATGTTTTGATAATGACTTATTACAACCTAATCAACACTTGCCTTTTTGTGATTTCTTGGAACTTTGGAATCAGCAGTTC